TTGAATTTGTTAAAAGAAAACACAACCAGTCGCTACAACCTTTGTGCCTAAATTTGCAATGATGCTTTTTGTTCAAAGTTTTGGTCTGATACAGTTTGACTCGATCCCTATGCGTGCAATGCAACAATATTTATCTCCGTAAGGATATATTCCAGCAGTGTATATAATAATATACATGACTTTTTGAATGAAAATTGTGATTTGAGGAGAGAAATTTCATCATTTTTTTGTGAATATAAATTTTCATATTTATTTAATTCACAAAAATTAAGTGATTTTGTTTACCTATACGGTAAATATTTATGTCATGATTTTGGCAATTATTAATAACGAAAATGTAATGGGACTTCACTGAATATTAGTTAGATCTGTATTTTTAAGATTTAACTATGCTCTATTATTATAAAAGTATTTACATTTTTAGTAAGATATTGGATCAAACTAAATTTTGTTTATAAAGGCGGACCAAAACTACAAACTTATTAGTGTTGTTGGCTGAGAAGATGGACCACTACTTTGACAAATATGTTAATCTTATCTCTTCTGATGTTTTCTTTGTTTGGTAGGTTATTACACTCGACACCATCTTCATTAATTACTTAAACGATTCTATTCAAGTATTATACAGAGTTCACTTGTTCAATCCAGACATATAATCAGGTTGCATTGGAGCAGGAGAACCAATTTGATGATATTAGTTTTGATCCAGACTCATTTTTAACTTTGTTGGAATATTAGGTTTCAATTTAGTCATGCTAGCTATTATTATGTTATCTATATATATACATGTATAAGTTAAAAGTATAAGAGATATTGACTTTTGTTTTAAATTAAGAGTCGAATTTTTAAGATATGATATTATTTTCGTAATTAATGAATAGACTAGTAATTTCCTTCCTTTTTCTTTTGTCATGAATCTCGTTTGTCTTAAAATTAGGAATTTTATGTTAAAGTCATGGTTCACTTGAAAAATTGCCCCTATTGAATTTTTTTTAAAATAAATATATATATATATATATGTAAGTATACTCCGTAATACGTATGTTTCTTTTTTGAACAAATAATACTAAAATTCTACTACCTTGTATACATATTTATCTTCCTTTGAAAAAATAAAATCTCATTATATTACTTCATTCATTATATTATTCCATCCATAGGATTAATTTGTTATATTTATCTTACAAATAAAACAAATTTTAGTTAGAGAAATATTAATTAAGTAAAAAGAGAATTGCATAGTTTAGATTGCGCAAACAATAAAATATAAATTGTTTGATGTGAAATAAGTCTTATGACATTGAGAATTGTTCTACATTTATTCACTTTTATTTTATAATATAATACAATCTAAATTATAAAATGCAATTCTCTAAATAAAGATAATATTAATTGTGCGGTACTATATCAGAATCAACCTACAAAAGTCACAAGTCTAATTTTGGGCCAAAATCTATGCACTACGTACTGACACCATTTCAGGGACTCACACAGTCAAGGTATAGCAATGCAAGAACACGGTTGTCTCAAATGTTTTTAAACTATAAACTCTAAGTTAGAGATTTTGATTTTGAATTTTTAGAGGAATTAAGAGAAAGAGAAGATTATTTTTAGTTGTATAATCTATTATTTAATGAAAAAAAAAAACACAAACACACAATGTATAATTGCTACACCCTATGTGCTTAATTTGCAAGGTGAAACACCCAATTTGGTATCCCAACTTTAAGTTTTAGACCAAGCTTTCTCCTGAACTTAATAAACTACCAGGATTGTCCTTAAATTTTAATTTTTCGTTACCAACTTCATCCTTTTGTTAACGAAATTACCAATTATCACGTTAATTTGGTATGAAATCTGCACTTTTTAATTTTAAAACTTTATAATTCATGTGCTTCACAACAATTAGGTGATTTTGTCTACCTTTACATTAAATACTTATGTCATGATTTTGGCAATTATTAATAACGAAAATCTAGGGACTCTTTTGAACATTTGTTAGATCTATATTTTCAAGATTTATCTATTCTTTATATATGATCACAAAAGTGTTTACATTTTTAAGAAGATATTGGATCAAATTAAGTTTTGTTTATAAAAGTAAT